ACAGAAAATTAACGTTAAAATTTGAAAAATCAATTTTGTTTTTTTTTAATAATATATAGCTGAGAAAACATCTAAATATTTAATTATTAGCGCAAAATATTTATAAATTCAATATATAAATATATATATATAAAAGATATACATACATATACTGAGAGTAATTCAAATAATTAGTTTTATAATTAATTAAAAATACCATTTGGTAAGATTAAAAATTTTTGAAAAACAAAATAACTTTTTTGAACTTTTAACAATTTTAATATTACTATTACCTCTTATTTGATATAATCGTACTTAACACTTTGTATTATTTTTAGTTTGCACACACACACACACACACACACACACACACACACACACACACACACACACACACACACACACACACACACATACATACATACATACATACATACATACATACATACATACATACATGCACGCATACATACATATATATACATTTAGTATATATACAGAATATACACACACATACACACAATAAATTTAATTTTGAAAAACCGTCTCTGCATTTTAGCTGATATTATACACGAGTGACTTAAAATTTGTAGTCAATTTTTAGTATAGCAGTTATGAAACCTTCATATTTGGATAGGGAGTGAGTGAGTGAGTGAGTGAGTGAATAAGTTAAAGAGAAAAAATTAGAGCATAAAATCTTATTGACTATAACTATGGTATAAAAATAAGTGTAGCTGTAATACTAACTTTGTTTTTTAGTGATTTATTATTATATTTTTTATTACTTTGCTTTTGAGAGTGAATTAGTTATATCATTGTTTTGTTATTTAGTATGTTTTTAGAGAATCATAACAAAAAGTAGAGAATCGTTGTATTATATACCATAAACTCCAATATCCCTTTCCCTTTCCCTTCCTCTATCAGTTTAAGTGCTATTTAATGTGATAAACATTGAGGTGAAGTCAAATCACGTTTTTCGGTGGCCATCACTGCCATCACTATTACTACCACTACTACTACAACTGCAACCTCAATGACTCTCTTTCTCTATCTTATAGCTCAGCCCTACCACTAACTCCTCTTTCCATTTTCTATTGTCTTATCAGTTAATACAGTGTATACTGTATAATATGAATACTATTATATGTATCATTATTTTTGTGTTATATCTTTCAAATTCATTACATCACTTCTTAATTCTCTCTCTCTCTCTCTCTCTCTCTCTCTCTCTCTCTCTCTCTCTCTCTCTCTCTCTCAATATTAATTATATGTCACATACATAGTACAGTAGATTATATATTATATACCAAAATCATTGGTCATTGTTTATGTATTTACAAAACTATACTAATCTTAAATAATACATATAAATTTATAAGTATGTAATGTATGTTTGTGTCAATTTTTGAGTTTATTTTTATTATTTTCTATTATAATAATAATAATCACAACATTTATCGTTGTTTAGTTAATGTATTGTCTAATAATAGGGAGAAAACATATGAATAATCTTTTAATTAGTTATAAAAAATCTATTTATCTGAAGTACTTTATACACAATACATACAATATATTGGGTTTTATACTGATTACTATTATTGCAGTTTTATTATATCTATATAAAATTTATGTATAATAATAATAATAATAAAGATAATATTTTTATTTACTTTTTACTTAATATTAGCAGACAAAAATGTTATAATTTTACACACACACATATATATATATGCATATTATTTAAAAATATATATACAATATTAAAAGATAAGCAATCTTTTTACATTAGAAAATAATACACATTTATATAAAAAAATTCTTTATAATAATAATAATAAATTTAGTCTAAATTATATTTAAAATAATATAATGAAAGATTACTTTAATAGCATTATAGAAACACCAGTCACAACAACAATAACAAAAGCAATGGACAAAATAGTTATATACTTTAAATATATATATATACTGTATATATATATATATTTGCATTTACTTTTTATTGCAATGATATAATTGAGATTAGATTTGTTAGACCATTCAAAGAGGAATATATTTTTTTCAATGATAATTAAGGGTAAGATATTTGCACATAAAATCTATTATCCACTCTTTATTTTTTATATGATTATTATTAGTAATTCATTTGTCTATTATAATCTCATTTTTTATAAAAAAAATACATACAATACAAAATAAGTTTATATAGACATACTGTATAACATAATATGGTATATCTCTCAATATTAATATATAAATGTGTTGACAAAACATATAATCAAATTTCTGTGTACACATTAAAACTATCTATAATTATATTTCACCTGAAATACATTCCAGTGCTCTCTCTCTCTCTCTCTCTCTCTCTCTCTCTCTCTCTCTCTCTCTCTCTCTGATCTCTGTTTATTTCTCTCTGTTCTCATCTCTCTCTCTCTCTCTCTCTCTCTCTCTCTCTCTCTCTCTCTCTCTCTCTCTCTCTCTGTCTCTCTCTCTCTCTATCTGCCTTTAATTCAATGTTCAATGCTTAACCTCCCTGTGCTCTAACACGGCTCAAATACACAGAGCATAGAGCACAGGGCGATCGATATAATATTCTCAATTCATTCTGTAGAGCGCATCTCAACACACGCCTAGAAAAGACCATTAATTCTTTCTCCCGTTCCCTCACTGTATGGCCTATCTCTCAGTGAGCCTTTCCCTCACATCTATCCTCCCGTTTCGCACTTATATCCATCCATTCTGTTCACTCAATTCTCTCCTCCCTTTCTTTCAGTTCACATCTCTCTCTCCTCTTTCTATGTGTTGTTGTATTATATTCTATGTTCAGCTCTTTGTGTGTGTTATTCTCAGTGTATGTGTCGGCGAATATGATACTACCTGTGCTCTATGTGCTCAGCTATGCCTTTTCTCTATTATATAATATGTGTTTTCTGATGATCAGTGAATGCCAACAGTAAAGATAGGAGAAAACCATTTGATACCCCAAACACACAAAACCAACAAAAATTTTTGTGTTTATTTGATTTCTCAATAGCCTTACTAAAAATATATATATATATATTGTATTCCGTATATCCATGATATACATTACACGCTGTGTTTAAACTTTTTTTTTGCACAGTTGTATAAATGGTGATTTTGATATACAGTATATATTGTATAATATTGTAAATTATTTTGATGGCAGTGATGGTGGTTCTCGCACTGGGAGAAAATATACTGCGAGAGAATGACTAATATCATATATTAAAGTGATAATGATTTATAATATACATATACTGTATATATATATAACGTATTGTATAATTTATATATCTATTTATATTTATATTGTATTGAAGCAATCAAATAAAGAAAGAGTGGGTGAGTGAGTGATACGATAATTATATCACTGTTTTTATTATTATTGCCAGTTATTAACAAATATACTGTTTGTTGGTGATGACCACACCATACAACACGGGAAACCCCTTAAATAATTGCTTTATAAACAACTATCAGACCATATATTTGCCATATTGTCTAATTTAGTTATACAAATAACAATTTACAACAATTCAATTTACTATACAATATTGTTATAATAAATAAATATATATAATAATAGAATAAATTACTAATATTTTTTAAATATACATTTAATACTTTGTATTTAAAAAAAAAATTATATACTAAATTATTGTTACTCATCATTATTATTACGATATTATTTTGACATCATTTGTATGGACTAACCCATGGACTACCCCACCCATCCCATCCTACCCCACCTCCAATCTCCCCACAAAAAACTGGTCATTTATGCGGTCTCCTCGTCTCCTTATCATTTCCGCTGTCCAGACCGTTATTAGAGAGCTGGACGGAGAACTGATAAGGGCGGGTGGATGACTATTAACACAGTACCACCACTACCACCATCAACAACAAAATCAATCTACTTGTGCTGCTTCTACATGAGAACCATACGGTATCATCAATTTATATTCATTATACATTCACATGAGTACATTGAGAGACCAATTGGTAAAACCGTATAATTCACTTATATAAGCAATTTTTTCATCTATCTATCTATATATAGAAGTCAGTCAATAAACTTAACCTTTTGTTCACTAAGCTATTCAATAATATATACATAATATAATCTAATAATAACTATCATAATCTATATATTAAATAACGCCATACAATCAACATAATATATAAATCTAATTTTTTAATATATTTTTTTATAAATTTTATATATTTAAATATAGTACATATTTTTGTTACTTTAAAATATACATTAAATATATATATATATATATATTTTATTAGTATTTTACAGAAGAAACTAAACCCAGTGTTTAATGCATGCAAATTACAAAATTTAATAATGTGTTGAATAAATATATATTTCATTATTTAAATTAAAAATAAACTTATAAATTAATAAAATATATACTCTATATATATATATATATATATTGTGTATATAATGACATTTATCATCCAATAAAATAAATGGTATATAAAGCCAGTGTCTCACTCTCTCCCCGGTTATAGTTATTTGAGCAAAAAAATCAATATTTTTATACAATATATACAACATGTATACATGTATTAGCACACAATACAATATAAATTTATCACTAACCTTATACGTCATTTATGTATACACATTGAATTTGACGCATGGTAATTTTATAATACCATATTAACAGAGTATTATAAAATTAAATTAAATAATATATATGAAAATTACAAAAATAATAAATAAACTTGATTAATTTTTTATTTGATTTTTAAAAAAAATTTATTTATGTAAATCATTTTTTTACAAATATATATTAATTATTAAAATTAATTAATATTATAAAAATTTGTTGCAAACAATACATTATTTGTGAATTGTATTTACTTTTTAAATGTTTACAATGTTTTCAATATTTTTTTTTACTATAAATTTCATATAAATTAAAAATTTGTATTTTTTTTGTTATTTAATTACATTTCATATAAATTTAAAAAAAATAAAGTTTTAAAAAATAAGTGTTTTTTGTCATTGATTTCAAACGTGTTTGTCTTCCCGTATATTCAACAGCCAATCGGTGGTCAACTTTATTTACCGATAATATTCGCATGATTTTTGCCGGTAATATCAGCCGACAATTGAGATCAAACAATGAACTATTGGTCACTCGCCCGTCGGTGGCCAGCAATGTGTCGCTCATCATCATTGAAACAGTTTGTCAGACAGGAGTCCACTGGCAATGACTATCGGGTTATTGAGACGGTCGGCACTGAACGTCAGTTTGATTTTGAGCCGCAAAAAGCCGAGACATTGATGCAAAAGTTGGGTCTTTTATATTTGGCGGACAGAAATGCTGGCAATTTGGGTGTAGTCGGCGGCAAAAACAGTTACGCATTGGTCGCCGATTTGGTCCGACTTGAACGGGCACTCATACGATGGACAATCCGACAGTTGGTCCGCGTGTACGGCTTCGAGCCGGTAGTCGTGCCTCAGTTGTTGTACTCCGACATTATGACCGCCTGTGGTTTCAGTCCTGATGGCCAGCGGTCGCAAGTGTACCGAATGGTTGGTGACGATAGAGTATGTTTGATCGGAACGGCCGAACAGCCGTTGGCCGCCTTCAATATCGGTTAGTATCGGCTCTTATACAATGACCATAAGTGTTGGCAATAGATATTATGTGTCATACGTTATATAATATACAGTAAAACAGTGTATTTATAACATAATGTCTACCGTTTTGTTTGATATCAGATATAAGTCAAACAAATGACTTTTGCTTGAATTGGACCGAAAAAAGCACTTTTTATTTAAGATTTTTTATTTCTTCATTGAATACATAGTTATATTTTGCAACTGTTTGTGTTCATCACTGCAAACATATAGACTACCGATCCCTTAGTGGCCTATCTTTTGACATTTTTAGTCGACTTTCTTTTAGGTTACGTTTACTTATACTTTAGTTATATTAGTTTTTTTTGTATTTGTTTTGAAATATTGTCATAATTTTTCACAATTTTCTCGCTTTTTTATTTGTTTGCTTCTCTCTCTCTCTCTCTCTCTCTCTCTCTCTCTCTCTCTCTCTCTCTCTCTYTCACACACACACACACACACAATATATTACAAGTTAAATACACTTTATATGAACAACATATGGCATATAATATAGTGTGTACATAGATATATAACTTATATATACTGTATTACTGTTTGATTATCGACCCGACAACAGGCGAAACACTATCGATGGAAGACTTACCGAAAAAGTACTGTTCAATGAGCCGATGCTATCGTGCGGAAAGCAAACACACCAAAGAAAATTGGGGTCTCTATCGGGTCCACTATTTCAATAAAGTCGAAATGTTTGCTATAACCGACAGAACACTGTCCGACCAAATGCTCAACCAATTTGTCGACATCCAGAAGTCATTGTTCCTCGAGTTAGGCCTACATTTTCGTTTGGTCGATATGCCCGATCACGAGTTGGGCGTATCGGCCAATAAAAAGTTTGATATCGAGGCATACATGCCAGGTAAGGGATCAGTGTTTGTCAAAATTGTCTTAAATTGATACATCCAGACACCAGAAACTACTTTTCTTGTCTCTCCTTTAAATCCCAACAAACATTAATATTGATTTTCCATTTCTTACATACCATTCCTTTATTTGTGGTGTTAGTATATATTATACTAACATAAATACTATATATATATATATACTATATAAATGTTAGCACTTTCGGTGTATACCATACATCCAATCGATAACTTATTATTTGTTGAATTAGTCACTTATACTATACTTTATATCTAATAATATTTGTGTTTTTTTCGGGTGACTGTTGTTAACGTCTTTGAAAACGCGATTCAAACGTTATTATCGATAATAAGGGGTTTTTTTTGCTTTCAAAAACACTTTATCACCGAAAAAATAAAACAACAGGAAAAGTAATAATACTTTTATAATTAGGTGATAACTGGGTGACCATAAAAATATGGCTAATATTCTGTACAAATGTTAGCCAAAACACTACTACAGACACATAAATCTCTTTCTTTCTTTCTGTTTGTCTTTCTTTTAGATTTCAGATTAAATACATTTTCTTTTGAAGTTTTCAATACTTATATTTATTTTTTTGAGTCTACAATTTTGTCTGTAAAACGATATTTTTTATATTATAAAGAAAATCTGATATATAAAGTTTACAATACAGTAGTACTGTATATGTAATAATATATTATAGATTTGCTGTATTTATTGCTCTCACAAATCGATTTTTAAGGGCTTTAGACCTTTAAATACTTGAAAGTTTTTTCTAACAATACTATTAAAGGAAACTTTAATTAGTATTTTCCAATGATTTTTTTTGTTACAAATATATATACATTTATATACAGTATATATATTATATACAAAAGATATTTTGATTTCATTTTTCTCTTATTTTTCCGCTTATAGTCCGTTGAAAAAGGCTTTGATAGACATTTAGGAGACATCATTAGTGCGAATAATGTAATCCTTTTTTTGTGTGTTAGCACAGCTCTCAAAAGGGGTAACCATATATTATCGGGTGTTGAAACAGTGTGGGGTATGGTTAGGGGGGTTGGGTTAGACACAGTGAAAATGCCTCCAATTGTTGTGATTGCAATTTATAAGGGACTTGAAAATAAATTAGTACCATTATTTGTAGTTTAATAGTTTTTTTTATTTATTGTACATGTATTTGTTATATAATTGCAAAATTGGATTTCCTGAATCTCTCTCTCTCTCTCTCTCTCTCTATATATATATATATATATACTTTATAACAATATTAAATTTATTGATATTTACTTTTATTTGTTCAGATATTTTTTTAGTAAATTATTTGCAAAATCTATTGTTTTAATTTTGTTTTGTTTGTCTAACAGGTCGTGATGTTTGGGGTGAGATATCGTCGGCGTCCAACTGTACGGACTATCAGTCACAGCGACTGAATATTAAATACCGAACAGTTGTGGCCAATGAAGAAACAGATCAAATATATGATGACATGTTTGTCCACACTGTCAACGGTACTGCCTGTGCTGTACCGCGAATGTTGATCACAATCTGTGAACAATACCAGACTCGGGAGGGATCAGTGGTTATACCAGACGTATTGATACCATTCATGAATGGACAGACAGTTATCGATAAAAGACAAACAATGTTTGCTATCACTGACCAACCAAACACCGGTCAAGTAGTCCTATAATCGCATTATCACACTATCCATTGCGTTCATAATATTTAAAGGGATTTATTGACAAACTAAACAAAATCCAATTGTAAGCGAAAACATTTGGAGAGATTTTATTTGCTTGTATTGTTTGGCTCCGGGTATTCAAAATGTTTCAGTTGTTTGTTATAATTACAAATATTTAGGGTTAAGCAAGGTCTTCAATTCTAGAGCGGGGGGGGGGGTATAGGGTGGAGTAAACTGACAAACAAACAAAATCTTAGGGGTATTGTTGTGAAGATTTTTATTGTTTACTCTAAATTTTAAGAGGGTCATTTTATTTATTTTTTAAAATCTATCTTAGTGTGGTAAAATGCCTTTACTCTCTACCCCTCTTTTGCTTAACCCTTATAAATACATAATAATAATAGAATAATAAACTAACAAATTATTTAAATTTAAATTTATTTATTTTTGTTATTTACACTAGTTTTTAATTTATCAAAATCTTGTTTCATATATTTATTTTATTTTATTTTAGTGAATACCGGATATTTTAAGCGGATCTGTAAATGTGTGTAAATATCTGTAGACTGACTTGTATAGAAAAATTATAGATATCAGGGTTAAGCAAGGGGTAGGGTATGGTATTGCCATTTAACCCCCAAGACTTTTTTGACCAAATAAAAAAATGTCGATTAAAAACGTGGAGAAATAGACCTAAAATTTAAAATGAAAATTTTCCATATTAAAAAATTAAAATTTTAATTAATAATTGTTAATTAACAGTTATTATGTTTTAAATACTTATTTAAATTTAATTATTAAAAAAACAAGTAAAATAGTTCAAATTAATCAAAATATTTGATTATTTTATTAAAAATATAAAACTAAAATATTAATTTTTTGTTGAAAAACATAATATTACAAGCAAAATATGATTTTAGGATAATTGAGATAATAATAAAATATAGTACAAAATATATCCCCACTAAGATCCAAAATCTTGCTTAACCCTGATATATACTGTAAATATAAACGTTTGTATAATTAATCATAAGTTTCATAACACGTAACACTAGTCTGCATAAAATATAATTCATATACAAAAAATAAATAAATTTACTTTTATTTTAGTCAAACAAAAAAAAGCAAATGACTAATTTAATTTAAATAATTTTATTAATAATATTTTCTTATGTCGAAAATATTGAAGATGTGATGCAAATTTATATTTATATATTATTAAAGTGATTATTAGTTTTTGTGAAACTTTTTGTTGTTGTTGTTATGGTTTTCAAAATAATAATAATATTTAATAAAAATATTAATAATAATCAGTTTTGTTTTAAACACACAAAAACATACATTTTTCACTTTATGAAATAAGTTTAATGAAATTTTTTTTGTGTTTATTTCTTAAACAGAAAAATCAATTTAATTTTTTTCCCAAAATATAAAAATCTCTTTTAAGTGAATTGAAGTTAAAATTGTTTAAAAAATACTAATGGGCTTTAAGAGCTTTACTCTACTATAGATATAAAGTTTTATAATATATATGTTTTATATCAGTGCCAAACAAATGGCTTAGTCTTATAGTAGACATACATCGGGAAACATCTGTGTGTTAGTCTATCACAGCTATAATGTTATAGTTTTACTCTTGTTTTTTTGCAATCAAATTAGAAATATATATATAATTTTTTCATGAAAAAATTATTTTTCAATGTTTTTTGAAGCCAAAAATATCGCTATAATAATAGTTGCACATAATTATAGTTTATAACTCTCTCTCTCTCTCTCTCTCTCTCTCTCTCTCTCTCTCTCTCTCTCTCTCTCTCTCTCTCTCTCTCTCTCTCTCTCTCTCTTAGCAATTTTATTATTGATGTCTTTGTTTTATGTTATATATATTGTATTTAATGGTAACTAAATGGTAACCAAACTTTGCTGTTTTGGTGTCATTTCAATTCAAACGTTAATTTATTATCATTTTTCTGATTTTGTTTGGTTTTCTCATTTCTCACATTTCGGGTATTGATTGTTTGGTTTTTTTCTGGTGGTATAAATAAAATATCGATAAGTCATTATATTTTGTATTTATTTTAGATATAATCTAATATTGTTTATATATAATAGTGAAGCCATTGTTTTTTGTTTGTTTGAGTGGTATATCAGTCACTCTTAGCCTTAATCATGAGGACTCATAGACATACTTTTGAAGAGATGTGTCATAAATTGTTTGTCAAACCAAAAGAAAATCACTGCATTTTCATCCCTGTCTTTATCAACCAAATGGAGACATGTTTTTTCATCGCTTAACTTAATCCTTAAACCGAAAAACTTTTTACTCATTCACCAAATATAATGACTTCACAACTTCTGTCCGTCTGTCTGTCTGTCTGTCTCTCTATCATCTCTAGTCTAACATATTCTTTATCATCTCATCTCTCATCTCACGCTTTTACTCCATATATAAAAATTTATATAAAAATTTCTCTCTCTCTCTCTCTCTCTCTCTCTCTCTCTCTCTCTCTCTCTGAAATGAAAAATACATTTCCAATAAGTGTTACATACGGTATATGTATTGTGTCTATTATATACAGTATATTACTTGTATATAAAAAGCGTTATAAACGGATAGCGAGACGAGACTATCCAAAGAGATCGATGTATTCATTAATCAAAAAAACATTTTTTTTCAAAACACAACCACAGAAAAAAACTTTTTTCATTTACTCCGAGAAGAGAGAGAAAGAGAGAATTGACTATATATTCTGTGCTTTCAATTTTGTTTGATTAAACTTATCCGACGACACAAAAAAATTAATGCCCACAAAAAACATTAATTTTGATTACTTCATTTGCTATTTAATAAATTTATATAAATATATGATATTTTCTCTCATTTCATTTGAATTTAATTACAATTTGTATTGCTATATATATATATATATATATATATTTTATCTTCCACCACTAATGTTTTATAAATAAATAATAATTACTATATAAACTATATATATAACATTTATTTCAGTCAATGTATTTCTTAAAGCAGTTTTTACACTCATTTCCGACTATTATTATTATTTATTTTTTTTTGGTAACCATTTTTTGGTTGTCGACAAATGCTTGAAAAAATTGTTTGCATAACATTTGCTATATTATCGGTAATATGTCCATTGCGTGTGTCATACCTAAGCATAATAAACTGTATACACAAAAATTTATAAAATATTACGACATTTAGAGATATTTGTTTCTAATGCAAAATTGATTTCATTTATCCACTTAAAAAAAATCTATTCTTATTTTTATTATTACATATGAATATACATTTTTTTGTCTAATCAAACAATACAAAAAACTTTATCATCAGATCTACAAATCATGTGTTTTCATATACTACAGTATATTAGATTTATATGTACTGTATATACTGGTCCTTTCATCCATCAAATGGCTTGCATTTTTGCATACATTTTGTCACGTTTTAGTCCTTTTCCTTTATTACTTACCAGTGCTCACACATATACAGTACAAACATATATATATATAAAATAGTCATTGCCTAAACTTTTCCCATCACTCCATTTCTCTAAAGACATTAATGTTAATAATATATTTTGTTTTTCAATTTAAGTTTATATGTAAATTGAATTTCATATAACACAACAAACACTATATAAGCGACTAAAAGAGTTAATTTAATATTCACTCTCCAAGTTTTGCTAAAACTTAATATATATGATATAAATAGTATATATATATATATATATATATTGTATATTTATATACTGTATATACTATACACATGCCATACGTTGTGTAACAAAATCATTAATCACAATTCAAACCAACAATTTTTCCTAACTTAATATAAAAAACTAAATTCTGTGACTATTTTATGTTTTGTAAAACAATTTTTTATTTATACAGTAATTCTTAAGAAAAAAACCTAACTTTTATGTTTGCTTAATATTTGGCTAAAAACCTTTTTATTATATTTTTATTAATAAATTTTTTTACGATTAATATAATACACATGTATTGTTTATTTTAGCCCCATTATATTTAATGTATAATACTGTATTATTGTTTATAAATTTTGTTGTATGTAAATCACATAACTATAATTAATATTTTATACAGTATATATATATACAAAAAAAATCAATTTAATAGTACGATAGATTAGAGTATACCACCTGTTTGACAATTAAAAAGTTTGTTTAATCTTTTAAAATTATATTTTATTTTATTTTAATTTTATTTTATTGTTATTAATCAAAAACAATAATAAAAAACTCAATATAATTATAGTAAATATTTAAATGTTATATTAGCTAATGTTGAATAATATGCCTGATTTAATGTATTTATCAATAATAGTGTCTCATTTATGCTGATATCCTTGTTTGAAGTGCACATATAAATTAAATTATCGCTCAGTTTTTCTTAGTGTTGTTCACTCATAGCTCCTAATTGCCAGACATTGGTTCACAATTTTTTCTCTCTCTTTCTCTTTTGTTGATTAGTTTTGTGCCTTTAATTATGTTGAATGTTATTACAGTTGACTCGACATACTATATATATATATATATTAGTATAGTATTATACTGTAATTGTGTGTCTTATAAATTTATATGTGACTTTCATAGCTTTGTCCTCTCAATTGGGTTTGTGTTATACTATAATTATATTTTTCATTTCAACTCATTCCCATCATTTAACTCATTATATTTTGATTATATAATTTCTTTTGGCATTAATTTAATTTTCAATTGAATTATTTTTTGTCTCTCTCTCTCTCTCTCTCTCTCTCTCTCTCTCTCTCTCTCTCTCTCTCTTTCTCTCTCTCTCTTTAACTCTCTGTCTGTTTATCTGTCTGTCTATCTGTTTGTCACTCTCTTTAAACATTTTCACTTATTCTTTCTCTATTTGCAATGAAATTACTTTTTTTTGTCTCTCATTTATCCGATTATTACCGACACTGGTATTAATACTACAACAGCGTAAAGCCTAAAGAAGATAATACTTTGTGTGATAGATATTGTATATATAAGCTATATATAAATTATTTATTTTATATATATATATATTTACTTATTAATTGTGTTTATATCTGGAGTATAAATAATTTTGTAATCTATGTTTTCAATTGTTTGAAACATAACAAAACAAAAATTGCCGATAATATTCTCGCTTTAATTATTAAATTAATGGCATTACTGTAAATGAAACAATTATTTATTTGATTGCTGTTTTTATATATACAGTATATATAAATATATATATAAAAAAAAGTATAATTATTATCATTAATCAAATGAGTTACGAATCATTGAGACTGTGGTCATGGGTTAGACAAATATCTATCATTTTTGTGGGACTCGTAATCTATTTTATATTATCACTTCAATGTCTATTTATCTAACTATTTATCTCTCTATACATTTTCAACTATAAAATATATCTATTGCTAACACTTGAGATGAGAAAAATATTTTTCAATAATAGTGTTGTTACAAAAATATTATGTGTGTCTGTATATGTTATAAATGAGAAAAATCATTGTAATAGATAAGAGATCGATGTATTCAATAATCAGAAAACATTTGTCAAAAAAATGCCATAACTTTCGCCATTTGTTTTGTGAAATATTGATATCAAAAAATTATAATCTGATATATAATTTTTTTTCATATGAAATTGATTTGCAAAAAATACATTTTTATTTTCAGTTAACGTTATTATAATTTTAACAGTAAAAGTTTAAATCATCCTTCTCATTTATTTTAAATTGTTTTACATTTAGTTGCCATAAATAATTAATAATTATATTGCATATGTTTGTAATACAGTACATATTTAATATGAAATAGCTATGCTATTTAAACGTTATTAGATTTTATGAATTTATTTCATGAATTATAGCATTTAGAGATAAAAATATTAATTAAATTATAGTAATATTTGAAATAAAAGTTTATAAGCCATATAAATGTGCTATAAAATAAAATTTATTATATATTTAAAGAAAAAAATGATTTAATTTTTAAACATTTTTTTAAAACTATGATATATTACTTGTAATCAAACTCATTATTTTATTTTTATTTCATTTGATATAAATTTAATTTAAAAATGAGTTTAACTGAATTACATATGATATTATTAATTAAATTTATGTCAAGTTTTTTCATGTTATACCTTATGTTATATTTTCAATGACACATAAAATTTATGAATTGACTATAAATAAATGTTTATATTATAAATTATATGTCAGTTTTACAACAAGGTTTGGGAATTTAATCGAAATAATAGTAGAGAATATTCTGCAGTTATTATATATTGTATGTATCAGTGAATAATGATATTTTTATAATAATAATATTAATAGTAGAAAAATCTAAATTTTATTTAATATCTATTTGTAAATTGAAAAAAACAAAAATTATTTCATACTATACGGTATATAATCACACAAATTGTATTGAGAAAAAATATTTCCGTTTCAATGATTTGTTTATTGCAAAACACAGTTATAATAATGAAAAGTTGTGTCAAACAAACACACTTGAAATAGTACAGTACATACATACTGTACACACACATATATACAGTATATACTGTATATAACACTTATTTTGTAATGATTGTGATTTGATTTTTCATTTTCATTATTGCTTTTAGTTTTTTTTATTAGAGATATTGTGTTGTTTTATATACATTGTGTCGCTGACTGTGTGTGTGTGTGTGTGTGTGTGTGTGTGTGTGTTGTACTGTCTGTTGTATATATTATATAAAGAGGAGGCAAAGATTTTGTGCAAATATTAACACAAAATATATTATAAATTTACACGACTTTAATGGTATGTCTATTATATAGTTTATTGTTTGTTGTGTTATTTTTTGTCTAAAAAAATTTAATGATTGTTCTCATTAATTATTTTTGCTGTTTTATGTGAGGTGTATGTATGTACTATATGTATATGTATGTGTGTATATGTGTGTGTATATGTGTGTGTATATGTGTGTATTTGTGTGTATTTGTGTGTATGTGTATGTATGTGCATGTGTTTGTATGTGTGTGTGTGCATGTGTTTGTATGTGTGTGCATGTATGTGTATTTGTGTGCATGTGTATGTATGTGCATGTGTTTGTATGTGTGTGTTTGTATGTGTGTGTGTGTGTATGTGTGTGTGTGTGTGTGTGTGTGTGTGTGTGTGTGTTTGTTTGTTAAATTAGATAGTTTTACAAACAAAAGAATAATGTTTTTTTTGTGCCGTTATTATTGAGTTTTATAATTGTTTGCAATTAATTATCGGTGAATATATATATATATATCCCTTTATTTAGTGATTCATTGGCAGTGAAACTGACACTAACTCTTAGATACGGCTTATGTATAAATAGAAGGAAAGGGATGGATAGGCATGAGATGAATGTTTTGAGCGTTGAATATTGTGTTGCAATGTGTTTCTAAAGTGATGCACACATATAAAAGTGGTTTAAAGGGAAGGAAAAGGGAGAGAATGGCATATAAATAGCACATACACACTGACATAAACACACACACACACTCACACACATACTCATACACGCACTCACACACACACACACACACACACACATACACACACACACACACACACACACACACACACACACACACACACACATAGACATACATATATTTATAGTATTATAACTGATCTAATGCTTGTGGATAAGGGATTCTGCCGTTAGGAATATAGTATAGAATTATTAGTTAAAAGAGAGACCAGAAAATCGATAGTCCAATGGTTACCAACACTACCATACATTTAAAATAACTGAGTAAAGATACCAGTGCTTGTGAGCGAGTGAGTGAGTGTGTGTGTGTGTGTGTGAGTGAGTGAGTGAGTGAGTGAGTGAGTGAGTGAGTGAGTGAGTGAGTGAGTGAGTGAGTGAGTGAGTGAGTGAGTGAGTGAGTGAGTGATTGAGTGAGTGAGTGAGTGAGTGAGTGAGTGAGTGAGTGAGTGAGTGAGTGAGTAAGAGAGAGAGAGAGAGAGAGACTGTTAGAGAGAGACTGTTAGAGAGAGACTGTTAGAGAGAGACTGTTAGAGAGAGACTGTTAGAGAGATTATTTCCATAGAGATTTTGTACGCAAGATCTCTGTGCCGATGACACAACAGTGCCATTCATTGACGCAAATCATGTTTTTTAGTCGATTCCCGTCACACAGCCATTGGTATAGTACTTGTCGTGTCTCACAAAAACAGAAATAACTGAAAAGCAAACAAATTAGTAGAGAAAACCCCATTTGAATGTTTAAAAAAAACCTGAGCGACAAATAAAAATTTATATATAAAAATCTTTTAACATTTGATATTACATTTTTTCAGACATTACACTACCACTTAACATATAACAGACATCGACAACAATTATTTTATACAATCCATAAGCACCAGCAAACTGTGCCATATATTATGAGTATAGTTTAGAAACAAATTTTTATATACCACTTCCCTTCAATATTAACCTTTTAATTTAATACATAAATATTTGTCGTTTTTTCTGTACTCATACTAAAAACTTATACTTAATTATACTGTATATACAGTAAATTATATTCGTTGTAAAATGATTATAAGATTATTTTGAATTTTTGGTTTCTATACACTCATAATATATTTAAAAGGTAAAGGAAGCTATCGTGAGGTACGTTACCAAATAATATCATACCTTTTCTCTAATTTTGTTTCTCTCTATCGTTTTTCATTATTTTTTAATAAAACATCTGTCAATAGTTAAACACATAAACAGAGATTTAGCTATATTTTTGTCTAGAATTCATAATTATTTTATTATAGGATATACACATTATGAGTGTATTAATAATAATGGTATTAAACAAATATTTAACACTTAGATAATATTCTAAACTCGTGCATACACTATGTGTGGGTTGTATTATACAACTTGTATATACAATATATATGTATATAGTATATATATGTATCAAAAATATGGTTTATATTATATAATATTTATAACATTATAAATAGTAGTATAGCTATAATAATAATAGTGTATAATATTCTGTGCATTAATTTTTTGTTTTCACTGTAATGTATAGATAGAGAGTACAGAATTGAATGATTGAGTGACACCAATGAAATGCCATATGAAATGAATTTTTGTTTTCAATGAATGGCAACACATATCATATCCTACACTATATATCCTCACGAAATAAACAGATGTTATGGATCTGACGGAACCAATGATTGCCATTAACGACAGTAATAGTCAACAATCGACTGTCGATGAGTTGGCCACACGTCAGTTGAGCTCAATTGTCGACAGTTGTGTCGGTGATGCCAGTGATGGACAAGTCATTGATGACAATAAGGTGGTGACTGTTGTCGCCAACGATATACTCATTGATTATCACTGCAATAGTAGTCTCGATGAAAGTAAGTCTATTTTTTTTATTATATTTCATTAGTAAAATATTTCATTTCAATTTATTTTAATGTTTATATTGGTTTATATAAAAAAATATTAATTTAACAACAATATTGCATTTAAAATATATTAGTTAATTATCACTAAATTTGAAAATAATATTAAAATTAATGCTGTTATTTGTTTATTATATATTTTTAATTAATTACAGTATAAATTTAATATAATAAAACCTAATTTTGTATATATTTTAATCAATGAATGAATATTAACGATAAATTTTTATCAAAATAAAACAGTTGACACCAAAAGTGATACCCAAGACGTGGTGAATGGCAATGAGGATGTGTTTGACCAGCAAATGAAGTACTGTTCGTGTGATTCAGAGTATGACGACACCGATGGCTACACCGAGTTTGATCTGATGGGCGACAATCAGATGTCGCCGAACCGATTGAGACAATTGGAAGAGGAACAGGAGATGTTGAACACATCACTTATGGCACTGACCTCACACTTTGCTCAGGTCCAGCTTAGACTCAAACAGATTGTTGACGCCAATGATGACCAGCGAGAGGATCTGCTCAAAGAGTTGGAACAGTTTGCCAATCGAGGCATACCTGATATAAGACAACCACAAATCGATCTCATGAATGATAAGGAAGATGGTATACAACTGTTATTATTTATATCGGAAATATTATTAATAATATCTGTTATTATTTTTTGGTGATTGATTTAGGCGAACATAAGGTAACTGAAGATACACTTGAATTGCAACGAAACAAACAAAAAGAATTGATTGAAAAACTTAAGGAACAGTTAGAAGATCTGGAGAAGTATGCCTACGAAACGGGTGATCACGAGTCCATACCATCATCGATGCTCATAGAAAAACAGACAGTTATTATCGAGCAATTAAAGGGCAAATTATCACTAAATATCGATGAATTAGATAAATGTACGACAGATGAACTTAGAAAACAAGTGGACAAAGCTATACGTGAAGTACGATATCTATTGATGAAATCATTGATTCAATTTGCGATTGAATTGTTTTTTTAATAATAATTATTATTTCAACAGATAGTAAATCCTGTTATAATGAAAGAACAATTAGTCGGTCAACTGAAGACACAAATTACAGATTTAGAAAGATTTATACAATTTCTTCAGGGTTTGTATTTACAGTACAATAATTGTATATCAGATGATAGAAATTAATGAATTAATTATCTAATATATTGTTTTCAGGTGAAGAACAAGAAAAGTGTTCGTGTGATTGTCCACTTCATGGCAATTGTCAGAAATCAGTTGAAATGTACGATCCATTGAAAGCACAAGACATGCAAAATCGACACAACGATAGAAATAAGAAGTCGAAGAATAATTGTAATAACCATAAGGACGATGACGCCAACGAAACGGCCATCAAAATGATTAGACGGGCGCTGACTATACTACAAGTGTTTACATTTGCACAGTTCGGTTGTAATGGTAAGGCATAGTTTGATGTAAAAATTTTTATAGATTTTGTTTTTTTTTAAATTTATAGTTTAGATTTTAGTTTACTATACTAACTAACAAATCTAATTTAGTTTGATAAGTAACTACAATATAAAGCTACGAATTTAATGATTATTAGTTGCATTGTTGTTGTTATTTTATAAAGTTTATAAATTATAAATTATAATATTAAAAGTTTTCCGCTTAAACTAATACCTAATGAGTTTGCGGTCATATTATTTGATGCCATTAATGGTAACGACTTTTTTTTTAATAGTATCTATTATTGCCTCAATTTATTTTAATTAACTAACTTAATGCAAACATATGACTTATACATACAGTATTCAGTAATAGTATTATAACATTAAAAATAAAAGTACTAACAAATTGTGTTATTCAAATCCATAGCAATTATATTAAAGAGACTTTATTTTATCGATTAAGTTATGATAATGAAAACAATAAATTATTTGATAAATTAGTGACATTTTTATTATACTACTTATCACTTATCATATTATTTTTTTTTATTTGAAGGTCCTATGAATGGCCGACACTTTGAGAGAAATATACTAAAAAAATCTTCAAAAGGCAACCATTGGGGTGACCTCAGGGCACGACTCGAGTTGGCCATTGACCGCATTTTGGCCATTTATCAGGAGAAACATTCCAACGATTCGGACTATACGTCCGATTCGGATGAGACGCCTACTAATCTGTTGTGCACCGAAAAGCTCATATCGACCGTACGTAAAGACTTGGCCACAGCTCTCCGAGATCTTCTACAGCACGGTCTCAGCGGTAATACCGGCGACGACTTTGTGAGCGACGTGTCGGCGACGTCGTTGTTGAGTTGGGGCTGTTTCTCTACCCGTTCCCATTTAGTGCCCCGACAGATGCACGCCTGGGATGTCCTACTCAAATATTATGAGCTTAAAGTATAACATTTTAAATAATATGCTACTTATGTCTAAATTAATGACTAATTTTTAAATGTTTATTTTAACTGTTAGAATGGACTTAAATATAACTCATGTCCCGCTAGACGACTGTCCCAATCGTTTAACTTAGAAATTGTTGGAGGACTGGCCATCACACCTAAACAGACATTACTGTCATGTATTGACGACATCATTGAATCGCACACAAGACTTAAGCGCAGTCCTGACTCACATTTTAAGGCTTTTGTTTGCGCGGCTCTTAAGTACTTAAATGAATAATTAATGTTTTAGTAAATGTTTTTATTATATATAATATATATCTTATTATATTATTATAGTGAAGGAAAACTATGTCAATGGCTAAGACTTATAGTGAAAAGTCGTACAATTGTTGAAAATTTTTATGACAACTGGTCGTATATCGTGTCCACAGGTTTTGATGATACACTCCGAGCTCTGGACAAACTATCGGAAGTTCGGTTTCATTTGCCGACCGATTTGGCGATCAGACAATTGCAAAATATACACGACGTCTTCTAAGCATATGTTTTGCCATTAGATATATAGTTGGAAACAGATTATTCATTAACTCAATTGTAATTTACAATAATGTAAATTAATTTTAATGTTTAAACAAATAATAATTATTGTATTTTTTCATACATTGATTTATTTTTGAAATTGTGTTTTATTTTTATATATATATATATTTATGTTAAACATTATTTTATTTTTGTTATAATTATTTGCCACATTTTATTGAATTGTTTTTTAAATTGTCATTTTTTTATTATTATTATGTATATTATTAACCAAACTGTGTTCATTGTTAATTTAATTAAAAAAATGATAAAATTGTATCATTTTTGTTGTTATCATATTCATGTGATTTATAAAGTCCAATAATTTTTATTTTTTGTCGACTACTTATCAATCATATAATAACAATAATAATAATAATAATTAAAAATAATGTAAAAACTAATATGTATTTTTTTTTATTAAAGCACGGGTTCATTATCTCAGGTATGGGCTCATGGACTATGGGGTTCATGAAACTACCTGTTACTATGGGGTTATCAATATGCCAAATACAACCAGTAACAAACAAACAAACAAAAAACTTTCAACTTTGAACTCTAAACATAAAGGGAAATGAAATTTTTATTATTATTATTATTGCCTGAAATAAACATAAAAGTTACACAAAATAAAAGGGAAACTCCGCATAAATCTCAGTTATAAACCGGTTATCAATTCCCAAGCAAAATATATTTGTATATTTTATGTATAACGATAAGGAACTGATTGGTTACCAAAAATAATTTTTTTTGAAACATTTTAAGTTAGGAAATGTTACTCTTTATCATTTGAAACATAAAAAAGAATAATTTGACTATAGATTAGATAATTATTTATTTTTTTATATTTCTATTCTGTAATTGAAATAAATTTTAATACAGAATACAACTCGTTTTTGTTAACCGTTTTAATACTGTTGTAAAGAAATAAAATGTTTTATTTAAAAAAAGTTTTTTTTAAATTAAAGTTCATTAACATTTATAAAATACAGTAAATATATAATATTTAGAAAAATTATTCAATAACATAAACTAAACATAGATATTATTCAAAATATTTGTATTACTGTATTTAAATTTAAGATTTTTTAAACAACAATTTGAATTGATAAATATTTTTTAAATACTATACACATTTATTGCATGTGATTTATTAAATATTAAATACTCAAGATAACTTTATTGCTCATTTAACTAATTAAATATATATATATCATGTTTAATACTATAAAACATTAATAAGAATAAATGAGAAATGATTGCAAATTAATTATATATCTTTAAAAATTAGATGTTATTAATTTTAAGTTATTATTAAGTTATCAAGTTAAATATTAAACGCTATAATAAAATATTATGCAAAAGTTTTAAAAAAGTATAATAAGATTTTTTATAAATTTATTTTTTTAATTAATTTTTGTACAGAATAAAGAAAGAGAGAAATGATGAGTGAGAAAGAATTAGAGAGAGAGAGAGAGAGAGAGAGAGAGAGAGAGAGAGAGAGAGAGAGAACTAATAAATAATTGTCATTTTACGGTAACTTTTTTTAATGACATAAACCGGGTTTTTTCACTTATAAGATATTAACCTTTCAATGAGTTTATGAGGGATACCTACGACTATAATATTAGTTAAAATAAAAGATAAATTGAACGCCTTTTTTGTTGCGAAACAGGTCATCACAAATATGACGAATAGCATTCATATAATAACTGAGATTATTATTTTTAAGCAAAATTTTTTTGGTATAAAAGGGTCCAAATGTTTGACTGAAAAATCATCAGTTAGTTTTGCAAACTATCAAAAAGTTTTTCATTACTTGAGAAAATCAAACCCCAATTCAAAACTTTATAAAAATGAAATTTTTGGTAAGTATTTAGCAAATAAGTCTCTAATATTTGACTAAAAAATTAATTAATTGTAAACTTTGTAAACTTTAAATAGTTTGTATTGGCATTTATGGCATTGGCCACCGTATCATTGGCTCAGATCCTGTATCCGGGACAGACTGTACTGACCGGTGTGGGCGAGATAGCAATGGACGGTCACAGCAAGATTGCATACCATGGCTATCAAAACCCGACTCTCAATAATCCCTATCCAATTAACTACGGAAGCTATGGAAACTACGGCTACGGAAACTATGGATACGGTTATGTTCCCAATTATTTATGGAAACGACGATAAATATGGAAACTGAGCGCAAGGAAAGGCATATCGATGGCTAAACCAAACCAAGGCTTCGGCTAAAATGATCTAAAAAATTGAATCTCATTTTATGAAATACAAACCAAATGTTATTAATAATATCATTTAGTTTGTATTATTTTAATTTATTTATTTAATTATTTATTTAATTATTTAATAAATAAAAATCTGTCAAAAAAACAGTCTATAATTTATTACAATATATCAATATTACTAAATAAATGTTTAAAAATTGTTTTAAATTAGTTTTATAAAACTTTCTTTATTACTGGTTTTATTATGCTTTATATATTTGTAATGTTTATATAATATACCTTTATATATATAAAGATATACTATACAATAATATATATATATAACAAATAAAGTTTTTAAATGGATCAATCCATAAACAATTTGTATTAAAAATGTTTTTAAATCAAATTCAAATCAAAATTATTAGTAATATATTTAAAGTCTGTTTAACTTACATTACATTGATTCAGTTTAAATTTGTAATTTATTAAATAACAACTATTTTATCAATTTTCAATTCATATGACTATTATATACTTTATTTTTGACGATTCAAACTCTTTTTAAGTAATCTTGAAAAGTGGGTATTCGTGACAAATGTCACAACACTTTTCAAAAATTAAAAAAAAATTATAACATTTCGCAACTTTTTGTTGTTATTGACTATAAAATGTATTAAAATAACACTAATGTCAACTTGGATTTAAATTTAGTTATATTTTTATAGTTATATTTATTTAACATATTACTTTTAGAAAATAATATACTATATATATATATATATATATATATATTTTAAAAACTACATTTTATTCATAAGTAGATTAAATATAAGACTAATAACCTTGATAATGATATATTAACAAATAAACAATTTTTTGTGAATAATATAGATATTTTTTATTCTCATTAAGCAATTAAATGAATTTTATATCTTTTAAGACATTTTTATTTATTTTTCAAATAATTTAATTGAAATCTATATCATCCACAAAATATCATAACAATTAATTAGTAGAAAAGTTATGTTTATTAAGAAATTATAATTATTTGTTTTTAAAAACAGAAATATTTCAATATTTCATTAATCAATTATTTAAATATTAATTTAAAAAGATTTAATTATAGTTATTGCTTTACTTTTATTTTAATTTAACCCAAAAAATACTGAAAAATTGAAACTTGTTATAAAAGATTTTAAAAATGAATATATTGTGTATTTTATAAATAATTTTAATCGTAATATTATCATGGTCATGTTCAGGAAAATTTATTTTTCGCCAACATTACAATTTACATAATTATACTAGATGCTTTTAATACTAAAGCTAGTTGTAAATTATTTGTAAGTTATTATAATTAATATAAATAAGAAATGTTAATCTAAAATCATTAATTACATTACAGCTATTTATTTATTTATTTATTCACAATTTGCATTGCATTTTGATTTTACTCTTATCTTACAATAATAATCTAATAATTTAATAATCAAATACAGCATAACATAAGTAATAAAATTATATATTGTTTGATTTTAATCTTTAATATTTATTTATTAGATTTTGTTTTTATTTAGTTTTGTAAATAGTAAATTATATTTAAATGAACCAATACATTGTAATTATCAATTATTCAAATTGATGAATGAATAAATCATTATTTATCCAAAATGTTTATACAGGTTTTTTTTTTTTGATTAATTTTCATTAAATTATTTCACTTACTTTCAATATTATCAATTGTTATAATCTTAAAAAAAATTTCCATATAAATATAAAATACAGTTTATAATTATATTTTATAACTAAAAGTTATAACTTTATATTAAGTTAAAACTAAATAAAAAATAATCAGTAAAAAAATGTTTGGCCGACTCGTAAGTCAAATGTTTGTTATCGTAGTTTTGTTGTCATTATTTTGTAAAAGTAAGAGCACTGAAAAACACGGAACTATTTTACGGCCGATTATCGGTTTGGTTGAAATGGACGGACCCGACGACGACGACAACGACGATGACTACAATGAAGAACGCAAGAAGCGGTCGCCGAATGCCGAAAATAGTGGCGAACTGGGAGTACCGTTAGTGGACGGCCTGTTGAGTTCGGTCGGCGGCGCTCTCAAGTCATTGGGACTCAAATGAAATTTAATTAATTATAATACATTGATTGCTATTCATTTAAATTTCTATTACTGTATCTTATGTACAAAAAAAATTATTTAAAAATTGATGAAAGATTTATAAATTATTATAAATATTGTAGTTAAATTTAAATTTGTATTTTTAAAAATATTTTATATTATCTATTAGATAATATTTTAATAAACTAATTCATAAAGAAAATAATTTTGCATTTTTATAATTATAATTATTAATAAATTAAATTAACATATTATATATTTTTTATGTTTCTTATATTTGCAACAATTTTTTCTAATCTCATCACATTTTCTGTATTTTAAGTCATATTATTCAATTATATCTAGACTTCAATTATAATTTAATCATTTAATATCTATAAACTTATTACATTGAATTATTTTTTGATAACTAACAGTACAATAAAGTCTAAAATTTATTATTATTTATTAGTATTAATTTAGTTTAATTAGTATATGAAGGACTAATAAATTTAAATTATATGTAAATTATAACTATTTTGTATTATTAACTCTAAATATTAAATAATAATAATTCTTATAATAATAAATAATTTTCTAAACTTGAATATTCTGAAATTTTATTATCCTAATTATTTTTTATCAGTAATGAAATTATTATTATTTTTTGTAAATTTAATTATAGGTTTTCACAAAATAAATTTCTCAATAATTCTATTATATTTAACAAATATTTATAATGTTAAACCAATAAATAAATCATTATTTATAAAAAAAATACAATCTACCACAACAAATATTTACATTGCAATTTTAATTAGTTAAATTCAATAAAATTATATTATATTTAAACAGTATATACTCTATATAAATATATATATATAAAAATTACAATTAATTATCAAACAATCAAATTTTTTCAATCAAAAGATTTCAATCATTTTTTTTTTGAAAAAAACTTTTTATATAAATTCATATAAAAGAAGATTGAGTTTATAAATTCATTTATGTTTTTATATAGTATTTGATAGTAAAACATGACTAAACTTTTTCTTATATTTCTATTAGTATTTATAGCAATTATGTCACTGACAATGACCTGCCAGTGCAACACTACTGAAGGGTCGGATATAGAGGAAGGAGAGGAAGCACAGGACGGACACAAAAAGTCTTCAAATTCTACGGCATCGATGAAACAGTTTATCGGCGGCAGAAAAAAGAGGTCAATAATAAGTGGCCGCAATCTAGTCCTATCGGTACGCAAACGCCGTGATCTGGGCGTACCATTAGTGGACCATCTGTTGACCGGAGTTGGCGGTGCTGTTAAATCATTGGGCCTATAGATGATACTTGTAATTAGTATTATCTTAAATTTATTATATAAATATATATAATATTTTGTTTTATTTTTTTAATTTCTATTATTTAATATTATATTTTTTATTGGCTTATATTCAACTATATATATCTATAGAAATTGTATTAATTTTTAAATAAATTATTTAAGCATTTAATCAAACTATATTAGGTTTATTAAATTGATTATTAAATTAATTAATGGATTATAATTTTTTTTGGATCAACTTTTGTATAACCATTTGGATGTCATTCATAAACAATATAAACTTCAATGACTTTATTAGTTAAGACATAGACTTATACAGTGAAGTCATACAATATGTACAGTAGTTGTAGTGTATATGCAATGCATTGCTAATCAATAACAAACACATATTGATGTCAACTGTCAGTCAATCCATTGGATGACAAATCCATTTAAATACCCAATCGTTGACTTCTGTCAATCAGTCTGTCTGTCTGTCGCTATCTGTCCGTCCGATCTGTGATTTTTGGCCACCAATGAAGTCGTCGTCGACTTCGTGCAAATGTACTAAATCGTCGAAAATTGTTTGTCCCGATTCCGGTTGTGGTGGTCGTCATCGACAACAACAACAGCGACGGTACCGTCACTTCATCTGATTTGATGACCAATTAATAATAATACCCATTAATCTCTTGTGTTACAGACGCGATGACCACCGATCGTCGAAACGCGTGGCAACACATTCGCGGCCAACCAGTCGATACGGGCCGAAGCACTGGAAGAAATTGCTTATCGATAAGTATTTTGGCCGTCAATTGGCACTGAACAGCACCACCACATTCAACGATTTATCCGCCAATCGGTTCAATGGCAACGGCAACGTATGTCACGATTCGCTCAAAGTGGTCATCTGGTTGTCCCAATGCTCGTCACACATGCAGCCAATGACCGCCGCCGAGACTATTGTTAAACATCAAGTCTTGGACTGCGAAGACGTATCCGATGTCGACATCGAAGAGTATATCGATTGAGTGGTGAAAAAGATTTGATATATACTTCAGAGCTATCTTTTACCGGTAATTGCTTTCATTGTTCAAACATTAGCCAAAAAATATGAAAAACAATTAACATTTATATTTAATTTAATAATTTTGTTATTAATTTAATAATAATTATTATTATTGATTATTAATTAATTAATTAAAATTCTAAACTAACTTACATATACTTATCATTATTAAATATTTTTGATATTTAAAAAATTGTTTATCAAATAAATAACTATTAATGTTGAATATTTGTATAAATTATATATAATATTTTATCATATTTACAGCATTAAATAAATAAACATTACGGTAATTATTTTTTTTATTAATATCTTTTATTAAAATAGTAATTAATAAATAATCATAAGATAATATTTTAATACAAATTACCGTTAATATATAATTTGATACTACAGTGTACTGTATATAAATTACATTTATATGGTTATAGTTTACCATAACTATAGAAAGTATAAATTTTATTTAAATAAATTAAATACTAAACAAATTTGATTTCCAAATAAACTTTCATATATAGTAAGTAATATTAAATAAAATTATAAGTATCTCTTTATTAGTATAAATCTATAAGACTTTTGATATTCAAAATTTAGTTTTTTGATTATTAAATATTATAAAATATTAATATTAATGTTTAAAATAATAGTTATTGAAACATTAAAAATAAAGACCATTTTAAAAACTATAGCTGTTTTCAATTACCGGTAATTATTTATATTAATGAATAAAATTATTAATTTTTTACTAAAATTATTTTTAATGTTATTAGTTATCGATTTTTATGATTTTTATGTTTTTTACGAATCTTCTTATTAACATTGTTTGACACCTTTGCGGTCGTATAGGTCAGGGGAGAGTTGGCCGCCGATGTCTTGCTTTTCTGGTCTGAAATCTTGATATTCCAACTGACATTTGACCCGATTTTGCCGATATGTTCTTTTTTGACTCCTTTCGGGGACCGAATGCTTGGTGTTGTCGTTGCCATCTTCTCTAACTTTGAATTATTATTACTATTATTTGGAAACAACTTATCCGAAGACGACGTCGACGATGACAACTGTTTTTGACGACGTCTTCTTCTAATAGTGAATGCTATACATAAAAACATTACTAACACTACAATCAAAATGACAATAATAATGGTCACTAATATCATTAATTTGTTATTAAAAAAGGACAACGGCGTAGAATCGTTGGATTTTGATTTGGCGTCAGAGTCTTGATCTTCATTTGCTGAAAATTTTCTAATGGCCTTTGGATGACCTGCCTTTGGATGACCTGCCTTTGGATGACCTGACTTTGGATGACCTGCCTTTGGATGACCTGCCTTTGGATGACCTGACTTAGTATAACCCGATTTGGTATGACTTGATTTTATGTAACCCGACTCGATATCATTTGTTTTGGTCTGACCTGTCTTGTTATGAACTGACTCAATATAACCCGACTTGTTGTGACCTGACATGTTGTGACCTGACATGTTGTGACCTGACATGTTGTTACCTGACATGTTGTTACCAGTCTCGGTATGATCTGAATTTATATGACCTAACTCAGTATGACTTAACTCAATATAACCCAATTCTGTATGATTTGTCTCTGAATTGATATGAACTGAATTTGTGTGACTTGTCTTTGTATGACTTGTTTCTGTATGATCTGAATAGGTTTGGCCTAATTCAGTATGACTTGACTTTGTATGACCCGATATATTAGTGCAGTTCATATAATAACGAATATCTATATTTGTGTTAATGAACTCTTTCTTGTTGTAAGTGAAGGCTCGGATGGAGTTGTATTCGACACCCAATATAAACAGGTCATGTGTTGTGGTAAATATGCCAACATATAGCCATTCGCCGTTAATTATCATACATTTCCATCTGTCTGACCAAACATTTGGTGCGGTCAACGATTTATAACAGAGTTTTGCATTTGGTTTGCCATTAATCAAAACCAGTAGACGGTATAGGATTGGGTCGTAACCGATGAAAATGTTTTGTTGATCCAATTTATTATCAAATTTTTTTTCTTTTAGTTCTTGTGGCCAAAATGTTTTACTCGTGTCATACAGATTACCATCGGATTGAAGACCCGTCGGTAATGACGATTCATTAGCTTTAACTAACTTATTGTCGATCAATTGTTTAATCTGATATAAACCATTGAATTCATTGTCCCGATTGGTGTACAACATAATGACCAAATCTTTGGCACTTTTTATGTTATCACATTCACTCTTATCGCTACACTCGGGTACTGTCGATATATAAGCGACACTTAGCACCTGATACTCGACATCAGCCAAGTTGACGATCCCATTGACTTTTTTGATCTGTTTATTGTAAAACCAGATCCATTTATTATCTCCAAAAAGTATTTCATCCCTATAACTATTGTACACATAATCAAAATGGGTTTGTAGACAAAAATCGGGACCAATAGATAAATCATTATTAATGGCAACCGGTATGTTGATGTCCTTCAATTGGCACCTAACGTGTGGCCAATAAATCAATTGCAATATCGTTACCGATAAAAAAACAAGTTTCAAAAATGATATCATCGATGGACTACTAATTGTCAAAATTTTATTCAATGTTTTTTAATGATTTATAAATATTATCGTTGTTTTAGTATGTAATCAAAAATACAAATAAATTCAACTAAATTTTAAATTTTAAAAAACAAAATTTATTAATAATATTAAATTAATCTCGTTTTACAAAAATTAAATTATATATACAGTAATTTGTAAGGAATTGTAATAAATAAATAATAAATTTCAATAAATTATTTAACTTATATTCAGTCATTACTATAGTTTTTAATTTTTCAAATTAAATATTATATTAAATATATCAAAATTGTTATAACCATAAGTTAGGGAACAAATGTAGGTAGACAGCCAGTAGAAAATTATTTGCCCCAAACCCATCCCCACCCACCCACCCAACCACTTCCTAACCTCACACTCACCCAAACTAACCTAACTAAATAATAATTAAGTAATAAAACTAACATTTTATATATGTATAATTGCATAAAAAACAATACTTTTTTTGCTGGCTGTCTATAATATACATTTAAGTCTAAGTTAGTTGAGTAATTATTTATTAATGCTATTAATATTTCAATGTCGGAATGCTTTAAATATGTCCATCAATTTTTTTAGTAACATTTATTAAATATGTTTTATATACACGTTTAGTTAAATTAGTAAACTATTTTTTAAAAATGTTAGTTTAGATAATAATTAAAAATAATGTTTGAGTTTTAATAAACTTTATAAATGAGATAATAGTTTAAAATTATAGAAATTATATGAAATAAATTTGTTTGAAAAGCAATTAAATGACTAAACTTTGAATGTTTTTTGGTTTCAATTGATTTACTAAACATAAGTTGAAATGTAATGAAGAATTGGATGATTAGTGGAAATCATAGTATAATTGAAACAACATTTTGAGGACTCGTTTGCAATATCAGTGAAAACTCTGTTGTATTGATTACTTGTGATTAAATGGATGTCTTATTTAGTGGACTTTGTCGTTGCAGTGCTTCCGGTATTACTTCCAGAAGTGTTGTTTAAGGCCGTAGTGTTTGCCGTATTGTTGGCCGAACTGGTGTTGGGATTGTTTGACTGACTACTGGTGTTTGCATTGGTGTTGACAGAGATGTCGGTTCTGGTATTTTCAATGTTGGTGTCTCTAATGCTGTCATCTTTGGGTTCTTTGGGATCTTTGAGTGTGATTTGTGTGATCTCTTTTCCAATGACTTTAGCACAAGAAGTGGTGTTTTCTTTGTCGCAGTAATTACTCGAAGAGAAGACAGTGACGACTCTTTTGTTTGAAGACCATCTGAATCCATGTTTAATACACTCATGTGCGCGGATCATATGAGACATATGAATATTGTTGAGAAACCTATTGACGGCTTCGGCCGTATAGTAATAGCCTGTGGATCGGCTTCTGTTCTTCACAAACAAGATTTTCTTCTGTCTGAGAGTGGACTCTGTATTCGTGGCATCGAAAGTGGTCATCGACTCTATCGGATCGTTCCACAGGAGTTCGTGTGCGGCCATACACTCCTCGTACGGATCGACCATTGGTTTCGGCCATTTGTTGATCTCTTCGAGTTTGACGAGTGGTTTGCATTGAGGAATACCTCCGTGACAACAGAAGACTGTATTGTCAATGACGGCAACCAATGGCAGGCTTTCAAAGCACTTGTTGATCGCATCCCATATTTGTCGACCCAATTGACGGCCAAATTTGTGGACACATTCCCTGAAAAATGTAAACTCTTTGTTCACTGACCTGACCTCATGATTGCCGCGAATCAATACATATTTGCTTTTGTCGGTCATCTTTAAAGCAAACAAATATACCGTTACCTCAATAGAGTACTTTCCTCTGTCAACAAAGTCACCCAAAAACACATAATTAGCTCCAGATATTTGAGGATCGGATGAGTGACACATCTTCTGGTCGTCTTCATAGATGTCCTCAAGATTTCCGTGAAGATCGCCCAACACATAGGCCGGCGACGACACGTTCACGACGTTTGACTCACCACTCAGTATTGCCAACACTTGTGTACACATATTGGGAACCACTTCTCCCAAGTATTTCCACAAATCTTTGTTCAGTTCTGTCTTTTCTTGCCTTTTGACGTCCGATGAGAACACACGACAAGAGTATTGCTTGAGTCGGTCCAAGATTTCTGTCGGATCCGCTGTTATTCGAGTCATTGTCACTGATCTGAGTAAGTGATGGTCTGATAACTGATTCACTTATTGATTGATACTTTACTGATGGTCTGATAACTAACTAATCCAATGCTTTACTCATTGTCTCAAAATTGTATTAGAAATTTATTTTTAATTTAACTTTATTTTAATTTAATTTTTAATTCACAAAATCAATTGTTTTTTTTTTAAATTTAATTATTGCCAGTATTTTCAAAAATATTTTTTATTTATTTTTAAATTATTTTTATTGTATTATTAATCAATTTTATTAAGCAAATTGATTATTACATCAATTGATAAATTAATTACCGATTATAATCAAGATAACACTTTATACTTTATTATTAATTTTATAAAATGTTTTCTTATCGATTGCTGTTATTTCTATTATAATGAGATCTAAATAATATAATAAATATAATATTTTATAATATTTAATAATATTTAATAATCAAAAAACTAAATTTTGAATATTAAAAGTCTTAGAGATTTTATACCAATAAATAATCAAATCTTAATTATAAATTGTATGACAATTCAATTGAAAATTTTATTTATTATTTAGTATTTTGTTTATTAGATTAATTAAATACTTAATTAGACAGTAGTATATTATTTAATAATGTTTCATATTTTGATGGCATTTATTTTTTTACAGTAATATAAATCACGTGTTAATTTAAATAACTAAATATTATTATATTTCACGTGTGAAATGCTAACAATGAGACACAGATTCATCAAATTTATTGCAAAAACTAATTTGAATTTTTAATGATTAAATTGATTTGTATCTAAACATAAGTTTTATTGACAGTTAAATTAAAGTATAGTTATATACTATAATTGTCTGCAAAAGTTAAAACTCTTGTGTCTATAAAATGACTGAAGACTTGAAAAAAGTGATGAATGACCACAAGTCAAGACAGGAGAAGATATCGGACGCAGGTTTTCAAGCAAGACATCAGGCATTTAACCTAACTTTCAATGAGTTTAAGACCAAACGTAATGAAGTTATCGAACAAATCAACAAATTGAAGACCGAAGAGACCCGACATATCAAAGATCTCATTGATTTAGATAATAAAACCGATGAAAGATTGATACAAATGACAAATACGGAAACTGGAAGACAAAGCGGTCACAACGTCCCTGACATTGAACGTCACTATCACGATAGTAGGTCCTCAATAGTGAACTCTTATTATACAGAAATGGAGGCCGAGTTAGACCAGAGAGTTACCAATTTTAAGGAACGCATCAGACGTCTGGATCTCAACTATGGCATGGATTCAATGGTCGGTTCGGGTTCTGGTAATCAACAGCAGATAACTGCTCTCAAGAACCGACAGAAAGAGTTGTTGGAATTAAAGTTCAAAAATAATGAAGCATTTGTTCAGCGAATGCTAAACATAAAGAAAGCCATCGAAGAGAGCTATCAAGAGATCGAAACAAACAACAAGAATGAGACCGAAGAGATCGACAGATTGTATAAAAAGATGCGAAACAAAGATCAGGAGGAAAGGGATGAGACGACTAAAAGATTGATTCAAAAACTTAAGAATGACGAAGAAAAAGATGAACAACAAAGACAAAAGAAAGAATCAGATGATAGAAAACAAAAGAAAGAATTGGATGACAAAAAACAGAAGAAGAAGAAGAAGGAAGAAGAAGATAAAAGAAAACCAAAAAAAGGAACTGAAGATAAAGGAAATAATGAAGAAAATTGATGTCATTGTCGCAGATCTCTCACAATATTTGTTATCATATTATTTAATGTCTTAATCTATAACTTTATATCTGATTTATTTTCTAATTAAAACACTTTTTTACCATTAATATTATGCAGTAATTGTTAGTAAATTTTATTTTTATCTTAATTATAGCTCAATTAGTTTCTTAGAATATATTTTAATGTTTTGTTGTAATAAAATTTTTTAAAAATTAAATATACTTTAATTAATTTTTAAATAAATAAATATTTATTATTTTTGAACACAACATTACAGCATCAGTAATATATTGAACAAATTGATTAATTTAATAGTCATTATTATTATTGAAACCTCTACCCTGACTATCATAATTATTGTTATCATGGTCAACGTAGGCCTGAGCGCTATAACCATTATGATTGTTGTTATGATTATTATGGCTCTGATGATAGTTATGTTGATTGCCATTATAGCCATGAGAGTGGTCTACACCATTAATGATGGCATCGGCCGCGTCCTGATTGCCAGTTCCCGGTTCATTGGTTTGTATCTGTGCTCGAAATCCTTGCTTATCGGCGACATAGTGGACAGTTCGTTTGCCTCCCTTGGGACTGTATAAACTGTATGATCCGACAACACCTCCATGTGGGCCACCCTTTTCCTCTCGTGCATTCTCACCGCCCCATTTGTCCTTTATATTGTAGCCAAACTTGTAATTTCCTTTCAAAAAAAATTAATTATTATTAAAATTATTTCCACTTAATTAGTGATATACAGTATATATATATATATATACCGTGGTTGTCCTGTAGTCGGTGCGATGATGAGTATCCGCCGTCATGATGGTTACCACTGATCACTACAATAACTGCTAAAAGACAGACAATTTTTGCCAACATTTTGTTTAAAATTTGTTTTTTTTTATAAATGTATTATAAATAAATAGACAATAAATAAATATTTACTAGAAGAAATGTAACTAATAAACAAAAAAAGTAAAATTGTTTGCTTTTTATACTATATTTGAATGTATGATATTTTTCTCTACAAAAAAAATTATTGTTTTTAACAAATTTAGAAATTATGTAAATACAGTGTACAGTATGTTATTATTGTTTGTGCTGAAAACAAAATCGATAAAAATTATCAATTTTTACACATTAGTCTAATTGTTAATTAGTTAAGTTTTTGACAAATTATTGTTTTTTTTAAATAATACTCTAAATTGTTTTTTAGACAAATGTTTTTGAAATTAAGTAAAATGTTATATTTTGATATTTGTTTACCGGTATATTATATGTTAATTATTAATGTTAATTATTAATGTTAATTATTATTTATATCTAATTATCAATGAGCGGAAATTTTTTATTTGTTTTTTTGTATTAATTTTTATATCTCCAAATGGTTTCTAATTAATTAAAATTATATTAATTATTTTTATTAACGAAATAATTACAAGACTGTGATATCGCTGACAAAAAAATTGTTTTCAAACATTTGTTCATAATTTAATAATAATATTTGTGCGGAATATTTCATCAGAAAATTTATTTATTTATTTCCATCAAATTTATTGTTTATATTAAAAGTTGAAATCATTAAAGCTTTAATATATTAAGTTACTTGATTTAATAAATTTTTATTTAAAGGATTAAAATCACTTTAATAATCAGATAACTTTTTTTGCATACAAACTATGTATAACTAAATTATTTCCCACATAAACCACAATTTTAACGATGAGTTGATTATAACTTGAGGTCAAATCAGCTGTAAAGTCAATGACAATCATTTAATCAGAGATTTTAGATTTATATTAATATAAATCATATTAATTAACTAAATTAATGTTTTAAAGTTATAAAATTTTTAATTTAATTAGTGTTAACTAAGTTAAATATCTAATTTATGTATTTTTTATATTATAAGTTATAACTAACATTTGTCTTTAAAAATATACAAATTAAACAATATTTTAAAATATTAGCCTACAAGTTTAAATTATTATTAACTTTCATTTTAAACTTAAATATTTTAAAAATAAATAAACTAATTTTATTTAAATCTATTGAAAAAAAATTATTTTGTGAAATATGTTTTTTCCATGCAATTAAAATAATTACTATTTATTTTGAACAATATTTTTGGACAAATTCTGGTAAATATTTTTTTCTATGGTTAGAAAGTGAAAATAATTTTTTTTATTACCAAATATTATATATCATATATAATAAATCTTTATTGTCAACAAAGTGGCTCATAAAAAATAGCAATTGAATTAATTTAATTTATAAAATTGCCTTGAATATTTACTTATGAAATGATTTAACTGCCCTATAAGTTTTTATGAATTAACCAGTATAGCATAAAAATATTATACTTAAATATTTTAATATAACTATAATAAAAAAATATGAATTTACAATATCGCCAATATAATCTACGTTAAGTCAACCTTATTAAACAAATTAATTATTAAATATAATTAATTTGATTGTAAATAATAAGCACGTGTTTTACATTGAGACGAACTAATACAGTAGTTATTAAATGCAATCAAATATATATATATATATATATGTTATCGTATTTTTTAAATCTAAGACTAAATATAATTATAAATTCCTGATTTATATCTATATTTTTGTTTTCAAAGGTCTGAAAACACACTATTATTATTTTTTGTATATTTATTGACAAAAAAAAATAAAATAAACAGTTGTAAACATCATTGAAAAACATATCAATATTTTTTTGGGGAAATACTTTTGTATAATACTAAAAAAAAGAGTTTTAATTATTTATTTTTTTGATGATCATCTCAATTATGTCATACAATTTAGAGGATTTCATCGGATATTATTTTAGTATAAATAGGAGCTGTCGGTGCTATACCAGATCATCAGTTTCAAGTGACTTGAAAAGCTTTATTAAAACTAATCAAAAACTAAAAAACTTAATTTGTTTTTTTAAAGTTTCCAATACTTTATTACTACAGCTTTTTTGATTGAAAAAATGAATAAATTTCTTGTGAGTTAAAACAACATTTAGTAGTATTAATTTACTAGTAATTTAATAGTAATAAACTTGTATTTAGTCTTTTATTTTTTTTAATAATTTGTTTGTCTTCCCAATATAACAGGCAATTGTCGCTCTCTTGGCTTTGGTCGGCGCCGGTATGGCCGCAGTGGTAGTACCATACTATTCGAGCTCATTGCCAGTGTATAGTTCAAGCTGGCACTACCCGATCGTTAGCTCCAGTTATCTGCCTATCGTTCCCAGCCATGTCTACAGCAATGTCTTGCCAATTGTGGATCTCCTCAAAAAATGATGATATTTTGGACGTCCGATACCATTGCTAAGGCACAACTAAACTACTGTTTCTTTCATTCAAATTTGATTGTTAAAAAAATGCTTTAATATATATTATAGATATCTATATTTTTACACAATTTTATTATTATTATTGTTTTTTATTTTTAAAATTATTACTTAATTAATATTCAAATCATGTATTGCACTCATTTTTATCCAAATTTTGTTTTAGATAATAAAAATGCATATTTGACATAAAAAAACAATTTTTTGTCTAATTATTTATATGATATACTAACTCTTGATTTTATGATATGATTGGTAATCTAATTTGTTGTTTTAATGTCAACTCAAAAATAAAATATTCAATATATACAATGTATACAATATACTGTATAAAAAAATTTCCGATAAAATAATTGTTTTTAAAGTCGTTGTTTAAAAAACCTAATGATAAAGTAAATGTAAAATTTGTTTAAAACAATATAATTTTTTAACTTTAATATTATTATATATTGTATGATATATTTAAATCTTATTTTTATTATTGACTAATTATACAGTAAAAGTTATGCATGAATTGGTCTTAAAATAACAAAACTATTTGTGTGAAAGTATTTTATTTTTAAATGTTAACAATTATCAACTATCACACGGTTTAGTAGTTTATCGCTAAAAAACATGTTTATTATACTTTATTTTTTTATTATGTTTGATTAGCAATTTTTTTTAAAAATATTTTTCTAATAAATAATGATTATTTCTTAACTATCAAAATAACTATTTTTTAAAAAAATATCTATTCGTTAATAGTCTAAACCTGTAGTGAATGACTTTAATTTATTTGTCTACAAAATCAATAAATTAAAATCATATTAAAAGCAAACGATTTTATTATATTCTTATATTTAGTATTCAACTATTGTATCAAACGATAGTCAAAGATCATATGATTTACTAATTTATATATTTTTGTTTTGTGGTGACTCTTAAACTGTTTAACCAAACCATTGACACGTTATCCTCGAAAACCACTAAACTATATCACTATTAGTTGACTTTAATGGAGACAAGTTTATAAAGGATTAGAGGGAAAGCAATTATTTAGGGAAATCCCTTTTATATAGTAAATTATATAATAATAATAATTAAATTTCAAAAATGATAAAATTAATATTCTTTTGGTAATATTATATAAACTATTAAATTATTTAAAAATTCTTACATATTATAAGCTATTATACTAAAAATATGTTATTTATAAAAAATAAGTGAATTGTAAGTGAGCTTGATAAATTGCTTTGATAAAATTAATTTTATACTATGTACATTTTTTTATATTATACACACTGTATAATAATATATACTGTATATATATATATATATATATATATATATATATATATATATATAAATTCTAACTGGTCATTTTATCTAAATGATGCATTTCATTACTTTATTTATAAAAAATTTAAAAATTATTCAAATAATTATAAGAGAAAAAATCATTAAAATTTATTTCACATCAACTGATAAAAACAAGGAGTCAATGGTTTATAAGTGGAGGTAAAGAGTTGTTTGAACGGACAGACACTTGAAATTTATAATTTTATATATACCGGTAATATTATACTGTATAAGACATAATGACACTTGTTTTTTGGGGTATAAAAAGGGTCAAATGTTTGACTGAAAATCATCAGTTAGTTTTGCAAACTATCAAAAAGTTTTTCATTACTTGAGAAAATCAAACCCCAATTCAAAACTTTATAAAAATGAAATTTTTGGTAAGTATTTAGCAAATAAGTCTCTAATATTTGACTAAAAAATTACTTAATTGTAAACTTTAAATAGTTTGTATTGGCATTTATGGCATTGGCCACCGTATCATTGGCTCAGATCCTGTATCCGGGACAGACTGTACTGACCGGTGTGGGCGAGATAGCACTGGACGGTCACAGCAAGATTGCATACCATGGCTATCAAAACCCGACTATTAATAATCCCTATCAAATTAATTACGGAAGCTATGGAAACTACGGATACAATTATGTTCCCAATTATATTTACAGACGATAAGAGACTAGGGCTCAGTCCTAACGTGTCCTAACGTGTCCTACCCGACCAATCAAACACATAAATAGTTGTACTTATTATTTAAATGCAAAGCCAATTGTATTTTAAATACTAATTTATTTGTAACTTATTTATTATAATAAAATAAAATCAAAGTTTATTATAAAAAAAAAGATTTCGAAAATAATTTAAATTATATATTAATAATTTAGATAATAAATTAAATGGAGTTATAAATTAATTTTAAATTATATATAATTATTAAACATTACTTTAAAAATAATTTTTATTTATTATAACTTATTTTTGTTTCAATCAATTTTACTGATAATTTCAATATTATTATTCAAACGTTATTTATTAGACATAAACACAAATCATATGTTATTTATATTAAATTTAAAGATTTTTTTAAAATTTAATTTTCAAATGAGTTTTATATTGAATTCACTGCAACGCTGGCCATCACTGGCCACCACTCGTCACTGGTTTCCGAGGTTGATGACCGCCCGGCAAATGTGTGGCAAAAATATGGCCAATGACGCCGGTGAAGACAAGGTCACCAATTTTGCCGACAACGACGACGAAGAAGTGGTCAAAAACGAGCGCATCTTTGCCGAAGTAAACGCCAAACAGTATGAATGTTTGGCCACCGATTCGGATCAGTTGCGGACAATCAGCGGAATACTGTCCACATATGAATATTTGAAGTATTCGACGAGCGAAGTACCGACACAGTTGACCACTGACCACATGAGGCATTTGCTTCAATTGAAATCACGTAATCAGAGAAACAAGTATTTGAATTACTTGTATAAGAAGGAGATCCGAGAAATGGTCAGCAATAGGATGAGGTCACGAGAAAAGATTGATAAGAAGAAACAATTGACCGATCGGTGGCACGATATGGGCGCCAATCGGACCGGCATTTTTGATGACAATGGAAACATTGTTTACGGTACTGATGGCGGTCACCGATAGTGTCTTTTTTGATGTCCACTAACTGGTTGTCTATTTTTAATCTCTTAGGTTTATGGCATAACACACTATTCACTCGTATATCACCTCAAAATACTCGCCACCAAACACAGCATCGGCTACGAAATGCATCGCTGTTTGGCCAAAACATTGTCTTTGATATGACAGCTGATCCACAGATAACTGTCAGCAATTGTCTGACCAAATTGAGACAACTGGTCAACAGTTATCAAGTAAATCGCTATCATTTTAACGAACCATTTAATCTGCACTTCTGTAATGTCGACCAAAATAGTGATATTTGGCGAACAATTCAACAGAAGAGCTCTGAATTTACCAAATTTCCGTACTTTTTGTCTGCATTTACCTCAAAGTCATATTTAGATCTATTTAATCCGCGAGATGTGATATATTTATCGCTTAGAGCCGACCAACAGTTGTTGGACTATGAATCGGACAAAATCTATGTTATCGGGTTTGGCGACGACTTTTCCAGTAAAGACAAGTTGAGGTATAAGTTACGATCAGAGAAGATCCAATTCAGACGTTTGCCATTAGATAAGTTTGTTCAGTGGAGTGGACCCACTAAGGACTTGAAGTCAGCGATTGTTTTGAACATTTTAAATGACATCAGAGATGGCCAACAATGGCGTGAAGCCTTTGAACGCAATCTACCAAAAGGTTTCATCAAATCTCAAGATGTGATCGAAAAAGAAAATTTATATATTATGGAGAAAATTAAGAAAAGGTTAAAAATTTCAAATAATTTGAGACTAGAGTTATGATTATTTATATAAAATAATTGATTTTTAGATAATTTTAATTATAATATAATTTTTATGTATAAACTTTATTGTATTTTAATATATATAAACTATAAATGTATGGTAATTATAAATTAATAAATTATCAATTTATTAAATAAATCATTCTCTAAATGTATGTTATATAATTATTTTTGTTTTAATTGAAAAAATTTTAGTGATTTTTTAAATAATTTATTTTACATCAATCAAATTTAATTAATTAGCATATTTTTTATCACAAAAAACTTTTTATTCATCATTTAATGCTATATTCAAATATTCAAAAATGCGTCAAATGTTAGACATTGAAAAAATATTAGTCCAAAACTTGTTTGAAAAAATAATGTCATTTTAAATAATTACAAAAAAACCAAAAATTAAATAAAACCTGACTTTTTTTCTTGTAAATCCCAGACCACAACAAACCGGTCAAAACCACTAAACCATTAAAAATATTTAAGCAAAAATTATTATCATTTTTTTGTTAAACAATCACTCAGTTTTATTAATAGTTAGATTCATTAAGGTATGGCATCGTTGATGTCGGATCAAGTTATGGATGGGATGGTCTATTAAAAAAAGTATTACCAATTAGTGCAGCCGTTTGTTAAAGTAGGGGTCGTTTACCTAACTATTACTCTCTCTCTCTCTCTCTCTCTCTCTCTCTCTCTCTCTTCTTTCTTTTTTCAAGTCAGGCAATGATTAGGATTAATCAAAATATTTTTTGAATATAAGCTTTAATTTTATGACTACTCAATGTAGAATTTTATGGTGCCAGTGGTGTCACACAGTTTGACAGCCAGAGGCCCGGGGCTTAGATAAAGGACAGGTATGAAAGTGAATGTGAAGGTCACCGAAAAACACTATAAATAGCCAATAGATTTGCGGTCAATAGTTATTCTGCTTATTTGTTGCACAAATTTGTACTATTTTTTTGGGTAATATCTCAATACTTAATAAAACTTCACTAAAAATGAAAGTTTTGGTAAGTTTCAAATTATGGTTAACTTAAGTATATTTTTGTATTTTATAAACTTATTTACATATTAATCGCTTTTTAATAATAGGTAGCACTTGCTTTTCTGGCAATGGTCGCCGTTGTCACCAGCAATGTGGTCCTAAGCAATGGTCTCTACGGCTATAATATGCCGAGTGTCTACTATTCGTGGCCATCAACCTATAGCTACCAGTCCTCATATGTGGTTCCGTCATATCGCTACTCATACTCTGTGCCAACTGTACCGGTTGTCTACGATTGGCTCAAGAAGTAAGCAATGGATAGTTTGACAGTTCACACACACAAATGGTCTCAAAAAAAACAAATGGTCCCTGATTAGATAAATTAAAAATATATGTATTGTTTACAAAACAATTACTGTAAGTTTTCTAATTTCTAAAAACTATAAATAAAAACAATTGCAAAAAAATAAAATATAATTTGTGTATCTAATTATTTTAATTATTTTTGTTTACCATTATTTTTGGAAATACACTATTTTTTCCTGAATAAATTTAATGCTAAAATGTTTTAAACATTAGGTGTTTTATTTTGATTAATTAGTTTTTATATAAAAATTAATTTTAAAAATTAGCAATATTAATATATAAATATTTCGATAATTATTAATACAATAATTAACTTGTTTTTATAATTTTAATAATTTATTTTTTGTATATAACTTTTTTAAATAATGCATACATTAATATAAATTGAAATGCTATAAATAACATATAATCTATTGTAACTTTTAAAAACTTAAAATTTATGCTAATTTGACTTAAAAATGCTAATTATTATAAAAATAGTTTATTAAATTGATTTATTGCTTATTTTAGTTTTCAAACTAACTTTTATTTTCTAACTATAAATATATTTTAAAAAAATAAAATATTCATAAATTCAAACATATTATGATTTTAAAATGGATAAAATAAAATTATTTTTTAACTAATTATTATATAAAAAGAAATTATTTACAACAAATAATAAGTAGAGTATAAAATTATTTTTCAATTATCAATCGATAATATATTATATTCTAATAGTTTCATTGATTTCATTAAATTTGAATTTAAGTCTACGGTTTTGTGTTTCAATTCGTCTAAATTCGGGATAAAACGAGGCATAAAACGGACACATCATAAAAATTGCCACATTTTCGGCAACAGTGCTGACCACATGACCTACATATCCGCCATACGACTCGTCCCATACCAGTCGGGAGGGACCTCTAATGTCAGCGTAGGTTCGCTTTAATCCCAGTGCTGAGAAAAGCACTCCAAATAACATACACGTGCCGAAAATAATGGACAAAATGGATACTAAAAGCCTAAATCTGGCCATTTTTAAGGTACCGACATATGGTATGGTCAGATATGTTATATGTGTTTGCATCAAAAAATAGATAAGGGATGCGCTAAACACGGGAACGGCACCGACCAATAGATGCAGTTCTAGGCTCTCTGTTGAACGAAACGCTGCCACTGCCGGTAGGCTAAGCACTTGGATTATCGACATATACAGTGACCATGTATTCAATCGATCCAATTTGAAAACAGTACTCAATCTTTCAGATAATTTTTCATCAATAGATTTTGATTTTTGTCGCACATTGTTGTCATTGTTATTGAACTGTTGCTGTTGTTTGGGATTGTTGTGTATGAAGTACTTGATTTGTTTGTAACGAATCCAACTCATGATTCCCACTAATTAAATGTAATCATCAGATAAGATAGAGATTATCATCAGTTATGGTATTAATACATACAAAATGGGATTATATTATATATATATATATATACATATATTAAATAAATATATCATTTGATAATTTATATATTGCATGACTTTATTAAGGAAAAGGACGCAAACATTTTTTTAGAGGACATTAATGAAGGTTTTAAAAACCGGCATTAAAATAATTATTGTCCAAAATTTGTTATTTAACTAAATAATATAACAGTATAATCTCATATATTTTAAATAAATTAAATATGCGGTATTTTCTGCAAGGTCAATAGTGTCTTAAATAACATCAATATAATTTTGCATATATTTTTTCTTTTTAATATGTTATAAAGTTTAGTTATACCGGTATATACAGTAGAATTAAATTTCTATAAATATTTATAGCACTATTTTATAGCATCAAATAGTTTTTACAAATCAATAATAAACTGTCTTGTAATTTACAACAACAAAAATAATGTTTGAACAAGATAAATTTAGTTAATTCTATCAAGATATAAAAAATAATAACTATGATTTTTAATAAGAATATATAAAATTTAATGATTTTTTAAATAAATATAGTATATTATTATCTAATTTTACATGTATTTTGAAATAATAATATCAACTATAAATTATAGTCATTATATAGTATATATTTGTGATTTATTTAAATTTTCATTTAAGACATAAAAAACTAGTCAATAAGTGATTAAACAAAATACTTGATTGTTTATTAACTAAACTCTAGACTTACCGAGTATTGCAATCAAGTAGAGGATGTATGAAAAATATGCCGCTTCTGGATGTGTGGCACCGGAATCACTAATGAATGGATACACTGGATTGACATGTGAATAGATCAATGCTAATATGTAACTAACAAACCATAAAACAAAACAAAATTAATTAATTATAATATTTTTCATAATTATTATTATTATGAAAAGTTTAATTTCTATATAATTTTTTTAATGATAATCTGTAAATTATGCTAATATACAATATTGTATAATAAATACTTACATTAAACTTAATAATAATGCAAATAAAAACGCTATCGATAGCGGAATAAATGGAAATAAGTTAACCATTTGTTTTTTATATATGGTTTACCCGTAATATTATATCTAATGTTACAAAATATGTAATTGACTATAACTAATAATTTTAATTAATAATAATAAAAAGCTTTTGGTTTCACTGACAATATTATAGTTATTATATTTTTGTGTGATTAATATTGGTATGTGATAATTGTTATGCAGTTAAACAATTTAATTAACAATTTATGAAATAAGACACACATATGTTATATGAACACAAAAAAACGGCACTTAATTGTTAAAAATAAATCAAACAATAGCATCAATTTCTTTGTTTCCGATGACAATCTCGAGGATTATTATTTTGAAGAGTAATTTAAATTTTATTATTATTATTATTATTATAATATTATTGAACAACACAAGTGTTAAATTGGGGTTTAATTGGGTACTGAAAAACTAGTTTTTTCTCAATGCAATCAACACAAGTAATGGAAATTTCTTTATTTAATAGCAATAGTTTCTCAATTCATATATCAATAATAATAATTTAATCAATAAACTCTTTTGTATATCAATAGCACTTTGGTTAACATTGAAGCCGTTTTTTTTAAAATTACATATTTATGAACAAAAATTCAATTTTATTTTTATAATTACTTGTAATATTTTAATTAAAAATAACAATTTACATTTTTGATGTAATTGATAATATTTATACAGTCATATTTATACTCACGCACGTATTTAAATTAAACTTTTTACCACAACATTTAGCATTTTATTGCCAAATTATTCAGGGGATTTTAAAACTAGTCATCTATAAAAATAATTATAAATTAATACAATAATGTAGTCGTCAACTATAATATACTATAATAATTTTGAATCAAATTTAATAACATTGCACTTTCATAATTATATTAATCTATATAATTTAATATTATATGTCAGATAGTTTAAAAGTTTGGAACTTTTTTTTAAGAAAAAATCAAATTGGTCTTGATTATTTTTCTACATTAATACTAATTTTATATTTTTTTAATGAATAGTTTATTTGTTTATAATTCTATGATTAGTTTGTTGAAATTAATTTTGTTAATTTAGTCAATTTTCATATGACATGATTATTAAAAGTTTTAATAGTAGTAAATAATTCTTAATTTTATAAAATGAAATAATTTTTTTTTAAAGTTCATTATATAAAAAATAGATAAAGTACTAAAACTCCATTGATATTATAATTTTAATAATATTTTAATTTACTTAATTTTCTTGAATTAATTTAATTAAATTGTTACAAAATTTTACAATGAAAGTTAACTTTCAAAAATATGCACAAAAAATATTTAGAAAAATTAAATCTATTTATGTAAATTGTTTATAATTAACAATCGGTCAAACAAATTAATTATTATCAATGTTTGAATCGTACAATAATACTAATAATATTTATATATTCAAATAAAATATCATATTACTGAAAATATCTGTTAATATAGTAACTTATATATATATATATATTTATATAAATATTGATTGCATTGTATGAGTTACATAAACAATTAGGCATTTCCTCAATTTCATTTGCTCTACAAAAATAAAATCATAGCCATACCTGTTTTTTTACATACATACAACCCTATGAATATACAGTTAATTAATAATATCGTAACACTGTATTTCCCCCAAAATCTACCGTAATATGAGTGCAATACACAGAAAAAGTGTTTTTGTGAGTAATACTGTATTAAAAAAAAGATAATAATAACAATAGCATAACATTAACTTAATTGTTTTGCTTTCATTGAAAAATAAAACAAAATCATGTTTATTATCTAAGTATCGCAACTTTTTTTTCAACAACAAAAAAAAGTCAAACAAAAGTAGCAAAATTTGTGTGAACACACTTTAATAATAACATGTTTTTGACAACTACTGTGTTATAATAAACAATATATAAATATAATTTAAGTTAGAAATCATTTTACTGTTAATTAGTAGTCATTAACTAAGTTTATGTCACAACTATTGAAAGCTTTTTTCTGATTGACAATAATTTGAACCTCAAATTGTGGCCTTAAATTGTTTCATCGATTAAATTTTTAATCAACTATTAAATGAGTGAAATATTTTGAAAAAATTGATTTTAGTTGAAATCTCAGTTTTTTTAGTCAATAAATGTGTTGTTAGCTGTCATTGCCTATTGTTTTTCAATAATCACTATATTATTCAGTCAATAAATGTTTTTACTACTATAGAAATGTTTCAAAAGTTTCAAAAGTTTTTAGTAGTATTTTTTATTATATTTTATGTCAATATATTAGTTACTATAAGCCAAAGAAATTATCAATATTTCAATGATGTTGGCAGTGATTTTGGTTTTAATGGACCATCTGATGATGATGGTAGTAGTAGTGGTAGTGGTGATGGTGGACACTGTGCCCACTCACGACAATTTAGTGCTCAAGAGTTAGATAAAGTGAGGAAATATATACAGAGACGCTTTGCCAAAACCCAACCACTTAGACCTCCCTGTAAGGCATTGCGTGTGAGAAAGGAGCTCAAGTGTCTGTCCAAACGGGAATGGCATGACTTGATGACTGGATTTAAACATCTGTACGACAATGGAGTGATGGATCACTTTTCGCTGATTCACGGAACCTATTGGCCATCGATTCACAAGTTTAGTCAGGCTGTTCCCTGGCATCGGTGGCATATACTTCAACTGGAAAAAGAGTTAAGAAAAGTCAATCCGAAGATCTCACTGCCATATTGGGTGAGTGCCAGTGATTAGAAAAATTAATGTTTTTATTTTCTAATGTTTAAAATGAATCTTAAAAAAAACTATAGGAATATCTGACCGATTTTGCCGCACCAGAGAAGAGCAGTATTTGGAAATACTTCGGAACGGCTGGCAATCGACACAACGGTTTTTGTGTAACAGACGGTGCGCTACCTAATCAACGGGTACAACACCCGACACCTCATTGTGTACGGCGACAGTGGAACAGCAATAAAACAATGCCCGTCTGGGATGGATCTCCCGAATGGGTTACATCGCTTACTCAGACGGGCACCACTTGGGCACAGTTTGCCGGTCTGTTGGGATACGGCGCCCACTTTAAGACACATTTACACGTCGGTGGTTATGAGGGAGAAATGAGTGACGATTACGCGACCAATGAGTAAGTGGTTATAATTTTTTTAATGAACTTTCACCATCCAGAAGCTTACAAACATTTCAATATTTGTATTTCCAGTGCTATATTTTATCCATTTCACGCTCACGTTGCCGACTATGCCATACTTAAGTGGCAACTGGCCAGTGATCAAAACCTGGTACCCGCGAGTTACAGTCAGGGTATGAAACACGACTGGTATACCGACACTATAAGCAGTGCTAACATTGAATACGACACTTTGACTTATTATGAAAACGCCAGAGTCAAAGAGGTTTTTCAGGTAGGTTTCGGCCAATTATGTTACATTCACGACCAACTCGTCCAACCGATACTCGACACAATAGCCAACAAACGGCCTAAAATGCCGAGTGTTGCCCGAAAATTGCAAAACTCAATGCCAAAAGAGGCGTTTCAATACTATTTCCCTAAGTTTGCCACACAAACGGCTACTTTCTTTGACTATTTCCTGCCGGAAGTCAGTAGCTATGGTCACCACAGTCACCATTTTTGCGATGAAATGCCGATTGCATTGAGATATAATTCGACACCTAATGGTAGACGTCTATTGAAAAACTTGAGAACAACCGCCGGTATAGACGTAACACCTGACGCCCTGAACGCGGAACAGGCATACTATGACTTCATCGGTGATATGAATCAATTTGAATACTGTTCGCCATATGTTTAAAATTATTATATTAAAAGAAAAAGCAATTAATTTGATATTTATTACTCATTATCTATTCATTATATATATATAAAAAAATTGAGTGAAATTAATTTTGATTTATGAAATAATATAATTAGTCTTAATATGACATTTATTGATATTTTTTATAAATAAAAATAAATAACTATTGATAAATGCATGAATGAAATTTAAATAAATAAATTATTAAAAAAATTTTCTCCACAATTCAATGCATATAATAATAATTTTATGTTGATTTATACTTTATATATATATATATATTATTTGCATTTTTATGTAATGTTTGTTATTATACGGGAAATCATGAGATTTCTTAATTTTCATTGAATGATAAGTTTTACTTTTATTACAAGAAAAGTCTAAAAATATTTTTTTCAAACAATAATATACTGTAATAAACTGTATAACAAATTATATGACAAATACTGTATAATTAACATTATTATACTTTACAATAAGGCTCTAATAAGATATAAATATAATAATTAGTTTTTGTTGATTTGTCACAAACATTTAGTATTTTGTGAATTGTCTTATTATGACTTATTATAAAACTATTTGTGTGGTTTTTAAAAATACAATAATAAATTTATTAAGTAAATGATTGAATAATATTGATATTTAGGTGGTTTTAAGGAAATACAAGTTTAGTTAGTTAAGCAAATATAGTCTACAGTATAATAATATCATATATTGATTGTATAGTATAAACAAATAGTGAAAATAAAAATAGATATAATTTGTAATTTTAAAAGCAAAATAAAAATTTATTTTTACTAATATTCATTAGATAACAATTACAAAAAAAGTTGTTAAAACTTTCAGTGCAATTAGTTACAAATGATTTATTTTTAAAATTAATACATGTTATATAATTAACTAATAACAATTTAACTAATTGTATAAATTTTAAAAACAATGATATTGACCTCATAATTATAATTTATTAAATGATTTTTTTAATAATTAATAAATAGACAACGAATTAATGAATATTTGCTTATTTTCATTATTATTATAGATATTAAATTAATACTGTATAGATTTTAATATGATGAAAATGACATTTTTTTTATATATGACATATTAATTGTTATGTATATATATATACGGTATTTAATATACCGTGTGTTACTGTATATCAAAAATAATTTTTTATAATAAAATTAATTATTTTCATAATTATTTTTTTTTAATTTTAAACTATTTTTTAAAAAGTTAAATTGTATTTAATTACAATTTATTTTGTGTTAAGTAATAGCTGAAAATGTTTCAATAACAATTTTAATAAAAATTATATGTATATTTATCTAAATATTTTTAAAAATTAATTGATTTTGTCATATTCAAATTATAAAGGACAACAATTTTGAATATTAGTTCACTGTCTTATTAATAATTATAATTGACTACTAATTAAATAAATAAATATAACTGACCTTAGATTTTAAACATAATTTTAT